GAAACCATGGGACCTATGTTTCTTTGGGCTTGGCTTACTTCACTTAATATAATTTTTTCCAAGTCTTTCCATTTCCTAACAAATGGGGCAATGTCGTTCTTTCTGATGGAGGCATAGAATTCCATTGTGTATATATACCACATTTTCTTGATCCATTCATCTACTGAGGGGCATCTGGGTTGGTTCCTTCACATTTTTATTTTCTTACTTTTCTAAAGTTCAGGTTAGTAGGAGAAACATTACTAAACCCTGCCCAGTACTCAATAAATTTTGTATTTCCCTGAAATTAATGACAGGTGGGATAGGGACTAGTGTTGACTTATTACTTTTGCAGTAAAATTTTGTGGTATCGGATGGAGAATATATAACTAATTCTGTCTAGTAGTAAGCCCTTCTTCTTTTCTTGCTAGTATGGGTTTGAACTCTGGGCCTGGTGCTCTCTCACCTTTGTTTCTCATGGTTTGTGCCCTACCACTTGAGCCATACCTCTATTATAAGAGTCTCAAAAATTTGTCCTGACTGTCTCAGAACCTCAAGTGTCAGATGTTAGTCTCTGAGTAGTAAGAATTAGAGACATGAGCCACAGGTGCTTGTTTTGCTTAGCTTATTCATTGTGATAACAAATACCCCAGAAAACAACATAAAGGGAATAAAGACAACACTTGGCTCAGGATAACAAAGATTGTAGTCTGTGATTGCCTGGCTCTATTGCTTTGGGTCTGAGATGAGGCAGAGCATTATAGTGTTTAAGGGAATGTACATATACAGTACAGTAGGAAAGGAGTGGACTTAGACATCACTAGGAGTGATATCTTCTAGTGGTCTTCTTCATCTTACTAAGTCTCACCCCTGAAAATTTCTATCACTTCCCAGTAATGTCATCAAATTATGAATCTATCAATTGACTAATACATTAGTTTGATAAGATCCAGAAACTTAGACAACTAGGAACCAAGCTTTCAAAATACTTCTTGTAAACTATAGCATGTATAAAAGACTGGGCTCAGACAATTTTATTTACACCAGCCAAGATGTCAGTCAGTTGTGCCAACTACTAGGATCTGTAACTAGTTATTAAATTTGGGTGGACAATCTCATCAAGTGGTCAGTTGTGCCACTGTGTTGTCTGATTTTTGGGAAGAGTTAGTGTTTCTTCCTTTTTGGTAGTATATGAATTTACAAATTTCCATGGAAAACAGCGCAAGGCACCAGGTCTTAATTGATGTTCCCTATTTCATTTTTTTTTTGACATTTAAAAAATTAACAATTTTATTTTACAATTCAAGGATATTGATTCATGATGGCCCAAGATCAAGACATTTTAACTAATGAATCAAGTGACTATATTTTTTAACATAATAGTATAAAACTTGTACATACTATAGAGTGATGTTTGGCTACATTTATAAATTATACAGTATTGAAACCAGGGCAAAAGTTTTATCTCTTCAAAGCAAACTTCCTTTCTGGCCTTCCCTCCATCCCTCCTTCCCTCCCTCCCTTCCCTCCTTCCTTTCTCTCTCTCTCTCTCCCCCCCCTTTCCCTTCTTCCCTCCCTCTCCTCCTACCCCTCTCTCTTCTAATTGTGATAATGGGGTTTGAACTCGGATTCTGGTCTGATTTGCTGACTCAGCTGGGGCTCTACTTATTTATGTTTATTTTTGTTAACTAGTTGAATAAAGGGGTTTGGGCCTGGGAAGGTAGCTCAGTGGTAGAGTGCTTGCCTTGCATGCATGAGGCCCTGGGTTCAATTCCTCAGCACCACATAAGCAGAAAAAAGCTGGAAGTGGAGCTGACACTCAAGTGGTAGAGTGCTAGCCTTGAGCTGAAGAGCTGAGGGACAGCTCCCAGGCCGAGAGTTCAGGCCCCACGACCGACCAAAAAAAAGGGGGCGGTTTCAATTCCAGAAGTCAGGTGATGAGTACAGTGCTTTTTGATTAATGTCATCCCATCCATCATATTCTCCCATCTTTCCCTATCCCATCCTTACCCTTGTTATATACTTTGATATTCCCTACTTTATGTTTCATCATTTAAAGATTTTTAAATTTTCATTTTGTGTTACCTTAGTACTCTTGTGCTGAAAATAAATGTGTAATCATAGCTGCTTCTGCTTCTTGTAAAGTGTCACCTGCAGTGTTTCCAGGTAATGTCCTTAGCCTCTACTGTTCTGCCCTTGTTACCTAGGCTGTTGTCCGGCTCCTTGAAATTCTTAGGCCTATTGGAATACTGATAAAAGTACTTTTATTGTGCCCCATATTTATGTCAGTTATTCACAGGTACCTGAGATGAAGTTGCCTTCTGTGTATATGAGCGCGTGTGCGCTCACGCGTGTATGCACGCACATGTGCATACTGTCCTAGGGCTTTAACTCAGGGCCCAGGCACTGTCCCTTAGCAATTTCTCTCAAGGCTAGCATTCTACACTTGAGCACAGTACCACTTCTGCCTTTTTTGAGTAGTTTATTGGAGATGAATCTCACTGACTTTACTGTTCAGGCTGGCTTTGAACTATGATTATGATCCTCAGATCTCCAGATTCTCAAATTACATGTGTGACCCATCAGTGCCCAGCTTGAAGTTGCTTTTGATATTTCTGATGTTTATTCTTTAGTATCTAGTAAAAACAGTATCTCTTTGATCCTTGTTTCTTACCCTTACCTATCATTTACTCCACTTTTAATTGTTCTAGACTCTTTAGAGTAATCTTAAGTTAGGCACTCCTTTCTTCCTTTCTCTCTGCTTTTTTCTTCCTTCAGTTCTCTTATAGTAGCTCCTGTAATGCTAGAATTAAAGTCAGTGAGTTCTGAATTCATTAAAAAAGAAAAAGAAAAAGTTCAAGCCAAGTGATGGTGGCTGGGAACCAAGATCTGCAGATCTTGGTTCAGTTTAAAGCCATACTAGACAGCAAAATCCATGAGACTTACCTGTGGCTCAAGTGGTAGAGCACTAGCCTTGAGTAGAAAAGCCAAGGAGTTTATATAAATAAATGATTGTCAGTAGTGAAAAAGGTATCTTTATCTTTAACCATAATTATGAATTCATTAAATCAGATTATTTTAAATACTAATTCTACTCAAGATTGTTGTTAATAGATAAGAGAGATGCAACGGACTCACTCTATATAGATTTCATCATTTTTCCCCCCTTACAAATTGTCTCATGCCATTCTATGGACATATGGAAAGGTGGGAAAGAATTAATATTAGTAATTGACTACATGCCTTTGCTAAAGAATATTAATTCATGGTCCTTAATATATAACTGAAGGTTCTGAACTTGGTCCAATTATGTCTGTATGTATGAATTATTTTTTGTTTGTAATTTGATGGTAACTTGAAAATTTTCCCTTTTAGATTTATAAGGTAATGTAAAATGAGTAAAATTTGATGTGTTTCCTAAGGTATACTAAGTATAGAACATGTTTTTTATAAAATGCTCTCAACTTCTTATACTAAAGATTTCTAAATACTTCTTGATTTTTACCCTACAGGTGGTTGAAGATTATGCTGGAAGATGGCAGGTCCCTTTGCCCCAGCTTCAAGTTCTTCAGACTGCACTTTGTTGTTTCACATCAGCCAGTGCATCGTTCCCAGATGAATGTGAGCACGTACAATATGTCTTGAGTAGTCTTGCTGTGTAAGTACTCTTTACTTCTAAACACATCTGTTGATGTATCTTAAGAATAGATTTTTAGGGGATGGGAAGGTGGCTCAGTGGTAGAGCGCTTGCCTTGCATGCCTGAGGCCCTGGGTTCGATTCCTCAGCATCACATAAGAAAAAAGAAAAAAGCTGAAGTGGCGCTGTGGCTCAAGTGGTAGAGCACTAACCTTGAGTTGAAGAGCTGAGGGACAGCGCCCAGGCCCAGAAACCAGACCCCCCCCCCCCGAAAAAAAAGAATAGATTTTTATGAGTCAAGCAGAAAAGGTCAGTTAAGTTGATATTAGGGAAATGAACCCTAAGATACGTATTGAAATGTTTTTTTTTTCATGCAATTGTTTCTAACACATTTATAAGATTATTTCTTTGTTACCTTGTATGTCCCTCCCCCACGGTATAACCCCTGCTTTCACTGTATTTGATGTTGTTATAAGTTGTGGAGGGGAAGAGAAAAAACAAATCATTTAAATAGGGATACAGGTGGACCCATTGCAACAATGAGACTTACAAGTTGTTATGTCGAAAACAAACTTTACAACTTTGGTTGGGAGGGTGCGGGGAGGATGGGATGAGAAGGGGAAACAAAGGAGGAGGCTATATTGCTTGATAAGACATGTACTCATTTTCTTGCCCATGTAATTGTAACCCCTCTGTACAGTATTTCACACTAAAAAAAAAAAGAATAGATTTTAGCCAGGATGCTAGTGGCTCACATCTATAATCCTAGCTACTCAGAAGGCTGAGATGTGAAGATTGTGATTTGAAGCCAGTTTGGTCAGGGAAGTTTGTGAGACTATCTCTAATTAACCACCAAAAAAGCCAGAAGTGAGCTGTGGCTCAAGTGGTAGAGTGCTAACTTTGAGCACTCTACTGGCACAAAAGAGAAAAAAAAGACATTTATTCTGTGGAAGAAATCATTCATAAAATCTTAAAATGAAAATTTCATTTATTCACCTGAGTTTCTAGTTTTAATTTTAAATGTTTAATGAAATTATAGTTAAAATAGAATTGTAGCAAGCAGATGCTCAGATCTCTGCAAGCACTTTGCTTTTTTAATTCTGTAGAATATCCTGTCAAGCTTAATGCTATCCCAGTATTGAACGATTGAGGTCATGCTGGTTAGCAGAGAACTACCATGGTCTCTAAAAACAGGCCTATTTCTTTAAAAAAAATACTTGTAGAGAATTTGAATTAAAATTACCTTTCTTGGCCTGGTGCTGTTGGCTCACTCATGTAATCCTTGCTATTCAGGAGGCAGAGGTCTAAGGATTGTGTCTCGAAGCCAGTTTGGGCAGGAAAGTCCATGAGACTTTCAATTAACCACTTCAATTAACCCCCAGTAAACCAAAAGTGGTGCTGTGGCTCAAAGTGGTAGAGCACTAGCCTTGAGCAAAAAAGCTTAAGAACAGCTGTCAGGCACTGAGGTCAAGTTTCCTTGTACACTGTATAAGGGACCATGTTGGAATTACAGAATAACCTCTCCAGGCATCAGACCTGCTGGTGTCTTGCTTAGCCTCCAGAATTTATTTGTGAGTCAAGCAAAATTGTACTAATTATAAATTATCCAGTCTCAGGAACTGTGTTATAGTGATACTTGGGGTTATATTCTTTTGTGAGCTACCTACTTATATTTTAATCACTTTATAAGCATATTAATTGGAATTTTTCTTAATTTTCATGAGCTCTTTATATATTTGTGATATATTCGTGATATTAAGCTCTTTTGTGATATAAGTTGCAGTATATATTTTACATTCATCTTTGCTTTGGCCATAGTGGTTATACCCTCAATAAATTTCTGAAAATCAAGGATTTTTTTGAGGGGGTTGGTTGTGGGGCTTGAACTCTGGGCCTGGGCGCTATCCTTGAGCTTTTCAGCTCAAGGTGAGTGCTCACCCACTTCAGCCACAGTGCCATTTTCTGGTGGTTAATTGGAGATTCTCACGGACTTTCCTGCTTTGACTGGCTTTGAACCGTGATCCTCAGATCTCAGCTTCCTGAGTAGTTAGGATTATAGGCGTGAGCCATTGGTGCATGGCAAGGATTTTTAACTGCAGTTAATATTTATGAATTTCCTTTATTGCTCCTAATTTTGAATCATAGTTCAAATTTGTTTTTCTATAACCAGGTTATATTGGAATTCTGTTACATCTTTATGTTTTACTTTCTGGGATCTCTTTTAGATCATTATTTATTTAGATCATTATTAATTAAAATAAGGCTTATTTGAACACAGACACTGCAATATCTTGACAATTGATCTGATAACTGAGACAACTACTGACTATGTGGCAGGTAGCATATATACTGTGGATACCCTGCATAAAAGGATGATCCATGTCTCCTTTGGACAGTGTACGATTAAACCACATTACTTAGAACAGCACATGATTTTGAACTTACAAACGGTCTAGTTCAAAAATTTCCCATGCAATATTTTTTTATGTAAGTTGACCAAAGAAAACAAAATCAGTCATGGGTGAGTAGTTTAATGAATATGCCTGCATCCTTGCTGAACACTTTTTTTAGGTTTTTTTCTTTATTGATATAGATACAAAGATTGTCATTAATATTCTCATTTATATTTGTATTATATTCCATTATATGGGTGTATTTGAAATTAATATACTTTTTCCTTGATGGCCAACACTTGGATTTCTAGATTTTGCTTTTAAAAATCTGATATTAAGGTTTGTCTTCAAGTCTTTGAACTTACATGTCTTTAGCTGGAAGGATGGAATTCTTGTAATTGGAACTGCTAGGTCAAATGACATGTGTACAATCTTAAATTATTGTATTGCTCTTAAAAGAGGTAGTTCCACTTATAATCCCTTCAACAAGTCATAATGGCTTGGTTTGTACACTAAAAAGACATCAAAGAACACATAAACTATTGTTTTAAAAAGAAGGGGCTTTTCATCTTTATGGTTTTTACTTAAGTATGTGTGAGGTAGAACAGTTTTCCATGCTTGAAAAAGATTCACTTCACTTTTCTGTGCAGTATATTATCATTTTTAATAGAAGTGACTTTTTTAGACTTAATAGTTAATGTCTACCTTTTAAAATTTTAGTCTTAATTAACAGTTTTTATTTTATTTTATTTTTTTTGGGGGGGGGCGTCCGGTTGTGGGGCCTGAACTCTGGGCCTGGGCGCTGTCCCTCAGCTCTTCAACTCAAGGCTAGCGCTCTACCACTTGAGCCACAGTGCCACTACCGGCTTTTTTCTTTTTGCTTATGTGGTGCTGAGGAATTGAACCCAGGGCCTCAAGCATGCAAAGCAAGCACTCTTCCACTGAGCCATCTTCCCAGCCCTACAGTTTATTTTAAAGGTAAACCATTTATAAAAACACAATTTAAGCCAGGCACCAGTGGCTCAGGTCTATAATCCTAGCTACTCAACAGGATGAGATTTGAGAATTGTGGTTTAAAGCCAGCCCAGACAGACAAATCAGGAGACTTTTTTTTTTTTAGTTGGAGATTTAAACAGAAAGCAAAGGTGGGAGTAGAGGCATGGCTTATGTGGGTAGAATGCCAGTCTGGATCTAAAAAGACCAGTCATAAGCCATGTATTCAAGTCCTAATACTACCAAAGGGAAAACAAGAGAAAAGAGGGGAGTATGTGTGGTGGCAACATATAAAGTATTAAAAGCACAAGTATTTAAAGTATTTTCTAAGTAATTTATTTAAAAAGGAGGTACCAGAAAATGGGTACTACTATGAAAGGGCTAATCAGGGTAAGTTTGAAGTTTGGAATTTTGTCCTTTATTAGATACGTGCTTTCATAGTGATCTTCCTTCTGGTTTTGTGTAAATTTTATCCATCCTTTAACATTCTTGGGTTAAACTAGACTTTGTTGACTAGTTTAGACAATCCTTCCATAATCATTCTATTATTCATCTCTTCATTTTAGGAGTTTCTTTGAGTTGCTGCTGTTCTTTGGAAGAGACGAGTTTTATGAAGAGCCTTTAAAGGATATTCTTGGATCATTCCAGGTAAAATAGTTTAGAACTTCACATTTTTTCTATGTCTAAAACTCTCCCCTGAAAAAGTTTACTGGGTATGTAAAAGTTTGGCTTATAAGTTTTTATGGCTGCTAAGGTTACAGTGTTTAAGGTCCTATTTTTCCCGGCAGATAGTTAAATATCTTAAGGTTAATTTTTAACTGTATTTCCAAGCAGTTCATAGCCAAGATTCCAATTTCACATGTGCTAGACCAGAGCTGCTACCAGGCCTGTAGATACCTGAGTACATTCTGGCATATACAGTAGCTGCTGTAATTTAGAACTACCCAGGTAAGAAAGTATTTTTCTTGCATAGACTACAAGTAGACTACACCATGTTAGTTTTTTCCTGTGGTGATATCCAGATTTTCTCTTCTTATAGTAAACTTCTAAAGCTAAGAAGCCTAGTTTTCATTTTGTATCTGGGTAAGAGAAAGGAGAATAAAACTAGTAGGTAAGGAGGACAAATTGTGCGTATGTAATGAACATTAGGTCTTTTAACATTTACTTGGGGATCAACCCTGGCACTCTCTTGTTAACTTATTTTTCTTCAACAGATTCCTATAAAACTCCATTTTGATCAAAAAGTTATTAATAGTGTATCTGCTTTGACACATTTCTAGCTGTTTGCAAAACTTTTACCTACATAGTAAAGTCTTTACTAGACATGTAACATAATGTAGACTCTCAAACCATGAACATTGGAGTAGACTAGTATAATTTTTATTTCTACAGAACAGTAATTAAATTATTATGGATTGAAATAACCAGTGGAGGATGATCTGGGCAAGTGAGACAGTGGAAAGATAGGAATTAGCCAGGTGTGGTTTGTTGACAAGGCTATAATCTTAGTACTTGGGATCCTAAGGCAAAAGGATAGAAGTTTGATGCCATTCTGTTCTAGCTAATTTCCCCTTCCCCCTAAAAAAAGAAGCATTAAGGGAAACAAAAATACAGGATGTAGGTATGTTTTTGTAGGAGAAAGTGACATGAGAAAAAGTCATAGGCAAGAAAATGCAAGATGAATTTGGGACATGTGGCCAAGACCAGCTGAAGATAAGGATTTGCTGATGTGTAATAGGTAAATGAATAAATGTGAGGTTAAGAAATGAGAATTTTGTGCTTTGGTAACTGCTGAAATGTTCACGTTAATATACAGGGTCAGACAGCTTTACAGACACATAATCACTTCTTTAAAATGGCATCAAGGACTTAGGGTTTGGCTCAACTGGTTAATTGGCCCTGAATTCAAGCTAGAGAACAGTCAATAAACAAGCAAAAATTCAAAATCTTCCTTCTGGAGTAAAACAGTAAGCCTGTTCCACAATTTATTCTGAAAGAGAAGCAAGGTATAAAGAGTCTAAAAGATAGTATGCCTATATGCTCTAGATTATGTTGTGACTTTTATAGTGATTTAAATGCTTATTCACTTTAGTGGAATTGAATTGAATATTGCTCCAGAAAGTTGTCAGAGTATTCAAAAACAGATTGAAAATATTTCTGGGCTTTTTTGTCCTCTTTCATTATGATTTTTTAAATAGACCACAGAGGTTTTTGTTTGTTTGATTCTTTGTCTTTTACCGGGACTAGAATTCAGGACCTCAAGATCTCACTTGGCTTTTTTACTCAAGGCTGGTGATCTACCACCTGATCCATACCTCCACTTCCATCTTTTTTGGTGGTTAATTGGAGATAAGAGTCTCACAAACTTTTCAGCGCAGGCTGGCTTTGGACCTGGATCCTCAGATCTTAGCCACCCAAAGTAGTTAGGATTACACTAGTGAACCTGTAATGAAATGAAGAGATTTTATATTACTACTTTCATCCAGAGCTATCTCCCATAGGAGTGTTTCCATAATATCCACCCAAGAAATACACTCATGTTTATGTGCACACACAAAAAAGAAACTCTTGTTTAGAACTTATAAAGTTATTTTGTGAGACAAGGTCACTGGGTGACCTAGTTACTAGGTCACTAGGTGAAACTGGCTAACTAGAATGTACTTGCTAGTGCCCTTGCTCTCTGCAGAAACTAAAATTTACTCATACAATTTTTTTTTTCATACCCCGGTTCTTTTCCCAAAAATAGTTTTTCCATTAGGTAATACTTCATCCCTGCTTCAATGGGAACTTTTTCCTTAGATTATACTTATCCCTGCTTCAGTGGATTTTCTGAATCCTGTTATCTATATATTATATAACCTTTGGCATTAAAACCTATTTGCATATGAATAGAGTTTTGTTCCCCCCTCAACTTAGGTTATAGTAATAATACTTTCTCCTTTATATCTTCCTATCTGTCTTATTTGGCTATCAGTTATTTTATTGACAATGATGATCAAGTTTAGTTTTTAATCCCTTTAAATTCCAAATCAAAAATGATTTTTCTCTCTTAGGAATGCCAGAATCACCTCAGCAGATATGGAAATGTGAATCTGGAACTAGTGACTCGAATCATTAGAGATGGTGGCCCGTGGGAAGATCCAGTGTTGCAAGCTGTTCTTAAAGCTCAGCCAGCTTCTCAGGAGATAGGTATATCAAAGACTCAATATCAAAACTGGGGTTTGTGAGAAGCAAACATAATTTTATTATCTAAGTAGAATAATAATTTTTAATATTTATGATAATGAATAATGTATTTCAAGTAAAGAATGTTTAATTAGTTTTTCCAAGTTGGCCCAAAGTAATTTTTAATGCCAACGCAGGTACATACATTTATAATCATGGGATTTAAAGTATTAACATATTTATTGGATGTTGTTTACAGGGACTTTTATTTCAGTTGCTTTAAATAGGAAAGCCTTTTTAAGAAAAAAACAAATCAGAAATGAATTTTCACAAAAGCACATGGAATCTAACTTACATAGGAGAAACCTTTCTGGGGTCATATGTGCTATCATTATACAACAAAGCTCTTAGAAGCGTTTTTGTGAGAGCTAACATTGAATTTTTTTGTCACCACTTCTATGGTATATACACTACCAAATAATACATTCTGTAGTTAATTCAGTGCTTCTGTGAAGAGTACTTATATTTATTAAGTATATATTAAGAATATATTTATTATTTTTCACTTGAATGGCTATAGGATGACTGATGAGTGAGCTAATTATTTCAATTCTAGATCTTATGGAGCAGTATTTATCACTTTTGTCTCAGGTCCTTATTGCCTAGTTTTTACAACATAACTCTTAAAACACAGATCATAGTGGACTATGCACCAAAAATTTCTTTTTGAGATAGGAGCTGCTGGTGGTTGTTTCTATATAGTTAACCCTTTTGTTTTTCAAACTATAATATTTGATACCATCATATTGGATCACTAAAATTTAGAATGTAAGCTCAGCAGAAGTGAATTAGCAAGAAGTTTAGTCAGATCTTAATCTGGTAAAACATTCATATTCCAGAATAACTAGATTACCATTTGGCTTAGGTTAATAGATGGAGTGGGTTAGTGTGGAGATTGATTGGACAAGTTGTTGATTCTCAGACTTAAGAGCAAACAAGCCCTACTGTGGGTATAAGGCTATGATGCTGAGAAGAGGAGACAACATGGAAAGTGAGACAACACTATAAGAAAAGGATCAGGATATAAGTAATAGTGGTATGGAGAACCAAAAGGATACAAAAGAAAGCTCTGATGTGTGAATCTTGGAAAGAAATTAAAGAAAAAGAACAAGACAGTTGGAATCTAAGAGAACAAGTTGGATTACTAGGAGAAATTATGAGGAGTCAAATATAAGAAAGTCAAAGGTCACAGCTGGAAAAAACTGAAAAATATAGCTTGAGAAGATAGAGAGTAGAAGTAAGACAAAGCTTCAAAAGATGTGCATAGAAGGAAAAAGGATGTTTAAGGTTTTAGGGTAGTTTTTAAGCTTTTCTAAGTAGGTGCTAGAACGAATTTCTGATTGGTTTGATGGTTGATGTCCCTTTTGGTTGAGAATCATTGAAATTAAAATAATGAATATTCCTTTCTTAACTTCACTAGCTTACCTCTTTTTGGGGAAAGCTATTCTACAGTCTCATTAATATGAATGATTCTAACTAGTGCTCATTAGGGTAAAGATGAGAATGAAGTTTAATTTTTGTAATAACTTCAAGTGATTATCATACATTTGTTTAAGCAATTGTTTAAGCCAGAATAATACATTACTTATAATCAACTTGGTTGTTTAACATATATAATTTTAAAATTTGAATTAAAAACCATAAAATATAGACTCCAGAATTGGCTTTGTCACGTGCAAATTTTTGTCTTTAGAGGAGTTATTTTACATCTTGGAAGCTCAGTTTTTGATCTCTACAATTCCTGTCATATATTGTTGTTCTAAATAAACTTGGAGAGTTAAGGATATTTTTATGCTTTGAAATTCTCTGAATATATAAATTACTAATTATACTTGGTACTACAAGAACACATATTAATAAGCAATCCAATTTGGCATTATTTTGGATTACTTTAAAAATAATGAAATACAACATATCTAGCTTGTCATTGGTTTATATTTCTTTATAATTAATCTGAATTAGTGTGGTTTCAGTGTGCTAATTTAAGATTCAGTCTTCTAATCATATACTAATGAAAATTTTGGGCTGTGAGAAATAAATTGTATAATCCTGCTATTTGAAACATACTTTTAATATATTAATAAACTAAAAGAAGAATTTTTTTCTTTTCAAAATTTTTATTATTTTCCCATGTAATTGTAACCCCTCTGTACAGCATTTTCACAATAAAAAATAAAATATTATATATACACATGCAAAAAAATTTATTATTTTTATTTTTTAAATACTTTTTGTTTTTTAAACTGAGGAGTCATTAACATATCTTAAGTACTGTTTTGGTGTCATCTTCCTAGCCCCACAACTGAATATGCTAAGGAAAATGTTATTGAATTCAATAATGTGTTAATCACCTTAAAATACCTTATTTCAGTGGTAAAGCTTCAAACAACAACGTTTGAATCTTTTTCAAAAGTACTAATCTGTTTTCTTTTTCAGTAAACAAATATTTAAGTTCTGAGAATCCACTGTTCTTTGAACTACGTGCCAGATACCTAATTGCTTGTGAACGCATACCTGAAGCAATGGCTCTTATTAAATCATGTATAAATCACCCAGAAATGAATAAAGACTTGTACTTCCATCAAGCCCTCTTCACATGTCTGTTTATGTCACCTGTAGAAGATCAACTATTCCGGGAGGTAGTAAGACTATTTTTGCCTATTATCATTTTAACCCTATCTAAAACAAACATTATTGTCCAATTCCTTTTGTGGTAATAGTAAGGATTTCAGTATCATGTTATCTAATATTACCTAGAACCATTCTTTAAATATCCTGAAATAAGGCAGAATCTGATTTTTCCAAATGATAAAATTTAGAAAATACGAGTATTAGTCTAGTATTGTGACAAAAGAAGTCAAATACAAAATAAGATTTTGCCTATTAAAGTACTAAGAAATATAATGGTTTTGTTTATTTTGTTTCTTTGAGATGCAAGAATTATCTTTTCGTAATACTCATGGCCATTAATGATATTACAGATACTAAGGGTAAAAAAGTGTTTGTAGACATAGATAGTATGTAGTGGAACTGTAAGACCATAAATATAATTCTGCACAGTACATCATCATCATTGTAGAAGAAAACTAAAAACTCATGAATGTGCTCTAAGAAATTTTTAAACACTTTTGCAACTAGATTTTTAGTTATTTTAAATTATAATGCTTTTTACTTTATTCTTACAGCATTTAATGAAAACTGACTGCAAGAATGGAATTGATATCATCTGTAACACTGAGAAAGAAGGCAAGACTATGTTAGCCTTGCAACTCTGTGAATCCTTTCTTATTCCACAGCTCCAGAATGGGGATATGTATTATATATGGTAAGTTTACACAATACAGAAGTGAAATGGTAAAATGGGAAACAGAAAGAATACTTGATTAATAGAGTTTGGACTGTAGGTATTTTTAAAAAATGCATGTAAAAATGTTAGGCTGTTTTTAAAAAACTGATAGGGCATTGTTAAAAGAACTAGGTATTTGTAAAACTCCCATGCCACAATTGATAGATTAAATCTTTAAGGTATTTTTTATAATCAAACAATTATGTTTGAATTTGAATTTAAGTTTCACTTGGAGCATGTGGTTTATTGTAAAAATACTGTACAGAGGGGTTACAGTTACATGAGTAAGATAATAAGTACATTTCCTATTGAGTACTGTTACCCCCTCTTTTGTTTTTCCCCTACCATCCCCCCCCAACTTCCCCAACTCTTCCTCCCCCACCCCAAGTTGTAAAGTTCATTTTCAACTTAGTGAGTTTTTTTTTAATTAAACTATTTACGAGCTAGGATATTTGAAATTGCAGTTTAGCTTGCAATCATGTTATTTAAAATGTAAATGGTTTTTAATACTATAAGTGAAATCCAAGAGTATAATTATTCTGATTCCTTTCCTTCAGGACACACACGCGCGCGTGCGCGCACACACACACGTACAACCAACCAACAAAAAAATGACCACGTTCTCATGAAAGCAAAGGAAAAAAATACAAGAATTTGTACTTTTTAGAAGGGATCTTAAAAATAGTGTTGGACATAGATAGCCTCTAAGTATAGAAGTATGTGGCTCTTGAGCTGTTGTTCTGGCATTTCCTTCTTTGTCTTAGTTTTCTGTTTCTTTTTTTTTTGACCAGTCCTGGGGCTTGAACTAAGTAAGTATTGTCCCTGACCTTCATTTGCTCAAGGCTAGCACTCTAACATTTGGGCCACAGCACTATTTCCAGCTTTTTCTGATTAGCTTATTGGAGATTAGAGTCTTAGGATCCTGGTGCTGGTGCCTTATGCCTATAATCCTTGCTACTAAGAAGGCTGAGATTTAAGGATCGAGGTTCAAAGCCAGTTCTGGCAGGAAAGTCCATGAGACTTTTATCTCCAATTATCACTGGAAATGGAGCTGTGGCTGAAAGTGGAAAACTGGAAGTAGAGCTATGGCTAAAAGTAGTAGAGCACTTGAGTGAAAAAGCTCAGGGACATCTCTCAGGCCCTGAGTTTAAAACATATAACTGACTCCCCCCCCAAAAAAAAAAAGTTTTATGGTATTTCCTGCCAGCCCTGACTTTGAACCTCAATCTTCAGATCCCAGCCTCCTGAGCAGCTAGGGATTATAGGTATGAGCCGCTGGCACCTGGCATTTTCTTTTTCTTTTTTAATTTCATTTTTTATTGTTATTATAAACGTGATGCCCAAAGGGATTACAGTTATGTAAGTCAGGTAAAGAGTACATTTCTTTGTGCACAGTATCACCCCTTGCCTTGTGCTCTCCCACCACCACCCATAGTGTCTCATGTCTAATGAATATCACTGCTGCATTTGGTCACCCTTTGTCCCTCCATTTCTGTGTTGCCCTTACCCTCCTAAAGACAGATAAATGAACAAGACAAAGAGAAAAGAAAACATAAACAGCAACAAAGAGGTTAAAATCTCTTGATTTGACTTCCTAGAGTTCATTTTGATAAATATTATTTTATTTGATCATGTGCATACGGGCATTGTCTTTCTGTTCTTCTCCTAAGAGTATCCTCCTTCATTCTAACTGTGTGTAAAATGCCTAGTCATATATAATTTATCTTGGCCTTCTGTATTTTATGTCTAGCTTCTGCATATGAGAGAAAAGGTGCTGTTTGTCTCTCTGAGTTTGGCTTATCTCACTTAACAGGATTTTTTTTGTAGATCCACCCATTTCTCTGCAAATGACATACCTTTCTAATGGTTGTGTCAAATTCCTTTGTGTATAGGCACCACATTTTTTTTTTTTTTTGATCCACTCATCGATGTAGGGCTTCTGGGCTGCTTTAATAGCTTGGCTCTTTTGAAAAGAGCATCAAGTGTCTTTATGGTATCCTGGCTTGTGATGTTCTTCAAAAGTCTTAGTTTTGATGGCTTCCTGAATGCTAGCACCATTTTCTTCTAAAAGTTAGTTTTTTAAATTTTAATTGAAGAACAGAAATCAGCTACAAAGTGTATTTTGACTGTGTTTTTTTTTTTTTTTTTGGTGGGTCCTGGGGCTTGAACTCTGAGCTGGGCACTGTCCCTGAGCTCTTCATCTCAAGACAAGTGCTCTACCACTTAAGTCACAGCACCACTTCTGGATTTCTGTTGGTTAATTGGAGATAAGAGTCTCATGGACTTTTTTTTTTTTCCTGAGCTGGCTTTGAACCACAATCTTTAGATCTCAGCCTCCTGAGTATCTAGGATTACAGGTGTGAGAATGTATTGGTAGTTAACGTAGTAGGGTACTGTTCTTTCTAAAAATCTGAGCAAAAGAAAATGTAAGCTTCATTGGACTTTTGGACTTAGAAATCAAGTTTTTAGAGTGGGTTTTCTTGGTTATATTCTTTCAAAATCCAACATACAAGTAAATCTGAAATCCTATTTTGTAAATTTATTCATAATGGAATTTTATAATGGTATTCTGAGATTTCTGCTTTTCTTGCTAGAAAGCTGAAATACATGATAGTCCTCACTTGACAAACTTCCTAGAATCTTGGGAAATGTTTTCTGTTCTTTACAGAAGTAGAAGAGAAGAAAGGCCTTTGTCTTTAAAAAATTGTTACCTGAATGGTCACAAGTTATTTTTTGGACAAGTTAGAAAGTATTCTTTAGACATTTCTAATATGTTAAATATTCATTTACAAAATATGTCCTATCATTTCTAATTATTGTATTAAAACCTTTTGCAGAGATATGTCTTATGAAATACATTTGATCTGTTTTTCTTCGTATCCCTTTTAGAAAATGAGGGTACTTAATTTACAATATTTCTCAGCATCCTTTATCTCATTCCAGTGGATAGCATTTAGGAATACAGGAGTTATCAAATCATAAGGAGGAGGATATAGCTCTGTAGTAGAACAGTTGATTAGCACGTGTGCATGCCTGGGTTCAATTCCCCTCCCCCCCCCACCCACACATACACACATATACACTACACATTTAAAAACTGAAAAAAATATAAAAAGATGTTGAATAGTAATAATCTCAACTTTTATTTATAAAAACTAGATTAACAAGATAAAAGTCAAATAGCTAGTACAAAATGGCATGGAAAGTTACACAGACAGTTTTAAATCAATATAATCTATATCTAACTACTGTAGGGAAGTTGGTATTGAAAGGTTATCATATACAGTCAATCTTCAGCTATTTTCCAAAAATTAGCTTTTGTCATCATTTGGCTTCAGTCTTTCCTGCTGCACACCAGTAGGTACAACAGCAGTTCCCAAGCTTCATGTTGTAGAGTTGAATACCCTCAGGGACACTGGCCTGACTAAGGTCAGTTCCTCCTATCTAAATTAACATACTAAAGGATAAGGAAGGGTCAGGGGCAACCAGAAGACACAGCTACTAGGTTCCACCATGATGTATTAGGTTTATTCCTGGAAAAAGGTGGCTCACTATGAACTGCATATTACTACTCCAGGTAGTGTATGCTGTATTGAAATTAAGGTCTCCAGCTGGACACATGGCTTAAAATACTAGAGCTTTACTTGTCTTTCTAACTCAAAGCTATGAGTTTTATGAGTTCAAACCAGAGTACTGTCTCTACTCTCTCCCAAACACACACAGGAGTATATTAATAAAGTCTCTCTTCTCGATCCTGATCATGCCACTATTTCTACTATATAATAGGTCAATAAAATTTAACAGTTGAGAAATAGATCTTATAAAATGTATACAAGGAAGCATATGATGAGTATGAAATCAGTAATGGGGATAAGGTCTATTCTGAAAACTTCCATATTTTTGAAAACTTCCTTATAGATTCACGTTGATAGATCTTTGAAGAAAGGGCTCATCTTAGAAATGATAAAGTATGGTCCACATAAAGCAATTAGCATAAACAAAAGTGAGAGTAAAAGGAAACACTCTTTTTGTGTGGGGGCTGTCTTACTTATAAAATATATTAAATAGTATATAGCTTGCCTGTTTAAAAGTACTATAGGTTAACAGGAAGCATCAACTAAAGCATTCAACTTCAGAATCAATACTAGAATGTACTTGATTTCGTATTAGTTTTGATATCTATATTGAAAAGTCTATAACATTTTCTAAATTTGCACATAGAAAATGAAAGATGGTTTTCAAGTTCTACCATCATATTAATATATTAGAATTTGATATAGTACTACATAGATGTTTTAGATATATCATGGGATTCATTTATTTTAAATTTTAATTTCTGATATTTCTTTTTTCCCAACTTCTATTAACCTCATATAGGTAGCAAAAGGTAATACAAACTTATATCTACATACATATATATATGTGTATCTCCACTTCGTATAGAATCAGGAAAAAAATAACTGTATTTAAATAAACTGTATTTTTGATATTTCTCTTTTTTTTCTATTTACAGGGAGTTGATTTTCATATGGAGTAAACTACAGCTTAAATCTAATCCTTCAAAACAAGTTTTTGTAGATCAATGCTACCAGCTTTTAAGAACAGCAACTAATGTGAGAGTCATATTTCCATTCATGAAAATCATTAAAGATGAGGTAAATAGGATATATTTATCCCTTGAGTTTTAAATTAAACTAAATGATAGTTTACTATAACCTGAATATCTTAAAAAATTTATTTGATCACAAAATTCAAGATAAGGAGGATTTTTTTTTTACCATCTTCTTCATGTATTAGATCTTCCTCTCTACCAGTTCCAAACTCCCAACACAAGACAAGGGTATATAGGAAAAATAACTGAACTACAGAAAAAAATATATAACTTAAAAATTAGTAAGGGAATGATTGCTACCAGAAGAACTATTATTTCTTTTCTACTGACTAAATATTTTATCACCTTTAACATTATTCTACATTCTGTTTGTAGAATCTTAATTATTTTGCAAATGAATGTTATATTATCTATCGGAAATACTTGTTCACTGTTACTGAAAAAGTTAGTTGATAATTTTAACTGTTGTTCATGTCAAAAGGAATAATGATTTCTGAGATGCTTTAAAACTTGAGATTTGTATTTGAAGTAATTATAAAAACTCATTAGCTATTTTTGAAATTTGACCTGGTTTTTATTGGTCTACTTAGGAAAGAAGTATAACTTACATATGAAATTCATATGGATAAGAAAGTCCATCCCTTAAATTCCTCTTCAAATACTATCAGGATTAAAGAAGAGAAATAAAGCCATTGTACACTTGTAGCACTATCAAATACACTCTTTTAGCAGGTTGATTTAAATATGTGAGAAATCAACTATGTATACTTCAATTTTTTTCTTATGATTTTTCCCTAGAAACTTTAACAAAGACTGAATAAAAAAATGAGAAAGCAAAGCTTGGCACCAGTGGCTCATACCTGTAATTCTAGCTACTCAGGAGGCTGAGATCTGAAGAGTGCAGTTCAAATCCAGCCCAGGCAGGAAAGTTCATGAGATTCCTATCTCCAATTAACCACCAGAAAACTGGAAGTGGAACTGTGGCTCAAAGTGGTAGAGCAGTAGCCTACAGTGCCCAGGCCCTGAGTTCAAGTCCCATAACTAACAAGAAAAGAAAAGAAAAATGAGAAGGATAAAACCACCTTACAGGGCTGGGAATGTAGCCTAGTGGTAGAGAGTTTGCCTAGCATGCATGAAGGCCTGAGTTTGATTCCTCAGTACTACATAAACAGAAAAGGCCAGAAGTGGTGCTGTGGCTCTAGTGCTAGAGTACTAGCCTTGAGCAAAAGAAGCTGAGGGACATTGCCTAGGCCCTGAAATCAAGCCCCAGGACTGGCAAAAAAACAAAAACACCAAAAAAACCCCCAAAACAAACCTAACCCAAAACAAAACACCCTACAATTTTGTAACTCCATTTAATTGAATTTTTATGATTTTGGTTATTAATAATATAATTTTATTGAAAGTTATGATTTTCTGATTATTTTAAACGTGAAGAGGATACTATTAAATAATGTACTTTCTCTTAAATATTTGTGCATTTATCACAGCGGTTGTCACATCACTCATTGATGTATAATTTTATAGTGATCATATGAAGCAGCGTTGATTAAAGATTTTATTTTTATTTATTTATTTTTTTATGGTCTGTTGTGGGGCTTGAACTCTGGGCCTGGGCACTGTACCTCAGCTCTTCAGCTCAAGGCTACTACTTTAGCCACAGCACCACTTAGGGTTTTTTCCTGCTTATATGGTACTGAGAAATCATACCCAGTGCCTCATGCATACAAGACAAGCACTCTACCACTGAGCCATCTTCCCAGCCCCTAAAGATTTATTTTTCCTTTTTCTAATTCTCTAACTGTATTCATAGAAGTCATCAAATAAAAGGAAAACCACCAGGTATCAGTGGTTCATACCTGTTACCGTAGTTACTTAGGGAGGCCGAAATTCAGAGGACTGAGGTTTGAAGCTAGGTTAAGCAGAAAAGAACATGAGTCTTTATATCTAAAATAACCAGCTAAAAAGGCTAGGCTGGAGGTATGGATCTGTGGATCAAGTGATAGAGCACCAGCCAATCAAGCAAGCAAGCTGAACAAGCATGAGGCCTTAAATTTAATCCATGGTACTGACAGAAAAACCAGACAAGAGCACAAAGTATTTCTTAACCTTTGATGTATGTCAGAATCACCTACCAAACTTTATTTTTTAAAATAAATGTATGTTCACATACCCAAATATATGATATTCTCATTTGAAGCAAGACTTGAAGGAAAAAAGTTAACACAATGTTTAACATTTTGATTATTACAGAGCTATGAACATAATACATGAGGAAAAACTAAAAAGATGAAATGAGCATTTGAATATGTAATGCTTAATAGTTTAGAGTCAGTTAAATAGCCCTTTATCTGATGTATTGATAATGTACATGCATTAGTGTTATGAAAACCTATAGTTACAATACTGTGTAAGTTCAAGAGATAATACAGATAGCATTATTTGGAGAGGCTTTATAGATGAAGAGGGTTTAAGCCAGGTTTTAAATAATAATATGAAGATAATACTGAAATTTATAAGGAGTTTACAGTTTACAAGGCCTTTTTTTTTCCTACAATGGTCTAGTGGCATGGTTAGGTAAATTGGATGGGAGATAAAACAAATGTGAGACTGGGAAGGATGGGTCATGGTTGCTAGAGATCCTAAAGAAACTTAAAACACATTTTGCAGCTGCAGTTCATTAATCCATGAAAATATTTAATTTGAGGTAAGGAAGTAGTCTGTTCCCTTTTTTAGTGGTTTTAGAATTTTAAACCCAAGCATGTGAATGAATATATTATAATTTTCAGAGTCAAGATAAAGGATGTAGCTGGAACTTTGCAGAAGGATGAAGAAGGAATTCTTTTTGAACCAGTAGATTTTTGAATTTGTAATACATAGAAAATGACTGTAATAGACACAATTTGAATTCAGAAAGGATTCTAAGGCAGAGATGATAGATTGATAGGGACAAAATAAAGACAGATAACTGATTCATTCTGTGAGTATTTATTTGGAATATTTATTTTTATTTTGAACCAACTTTTACACTAATCATAGGAAATACAAAAATGAAACATTGCAGCCAAATATTTAGGAATTCAAAGTGAAAGAATGGGAGCATACACTGATAGTTATAAAAGAAAGAGCCTTTTAGAGAAATGTGTATTATCTTTGATGGGAATAATAGAATTTAACTGTATCTCAGATCAGGGGTCATAAAATACAAGTAGAGGAACCTGCAGAATAGAAACGTCTGACAAATAATAGATCAGTAAGAAAGTAATTGGATAAAATGGTAGTAACATATCCAAATCTAAGGCCTGCAATACTGTAAGCAATTAAGCAAGGTTGGTTATACAGTATAGAAAAATGCTAAGGGGCATGATACAGTATTCCTCTCTTTAATTTGTAACCATGCACAGAGAACATAATATATAAATATATAATCTTTTTGACATCAGTGAAAGCTTGTGCCATTAAAAAAAAGCTTGTATAATTTTCAGTAATTTCCAATAGGCTCATTTTTCTGGTACTTTATTAGATTTTATGTTTAGATTACAATTGACCTCTTCGTGTGTGCGATATTTTCCCTTTTATTTGAATAAATATTACTTTGCAGGGGATAGGGGTAAAGTAAGAGTAATTGGTCTAATATGCCTAGGTTTGATCCCTGGCATTAAAATAATATTACTTAATAAAGTAACAGTATATCATTGTAAGTTTCATAGTCTTTAAAAAATAATTTCGTTATTTCTTAACATGGAAAATTGATTTGTCTGTTTAAAATGACCTGTTAACCCTTCCGCCAAACAATGGGAGTAGTGTCTTAAATAAAGTAAGCATGGACTTTTAGGAAATGGTAATTATGTTTTATGATGCTTAGGAAGCATTTTGTATTGTTGCTATGTCTTGTCACACTTGGAAATAAGTAGAAGCTCAAATACTAGCTATTCCAGATGATTCTTATTTTCAAAAGAAAGACACATAAATAAAAGGGTTAAACAAAGCTCCTAGAAAATTGTACATTGGAATGCTATGTACTTAAAGCTTGCCTTTCAAGGTTTCATCTAAAAAATATAAAGCAGTTCAGTTATTTTTATAGAGATATTAATAATATTTTTCCTTTTACAGGTTGAAGAAGAAGGCTTGCAAATTTGTGTTGAAATATGTGGGTGTGCCCTACAACTTGACCTTCATGATGATCCTAAAACTAAATGTCTAATTTATAAAACAATTGCACATTTTTTGCCAAATGATTTAGAGATCCTCAGGATTTGTGCACTGTCAATATTTTTCCTTGAGCGCTCCTTAGAAGCTTACCATACTGTTGAAGAACTCTATAAACGTCCAGATGAAGAATATAATGAAGGCACAAGTTGTGTGCAAAATCGTGTTCGTTTTGAATTACTTCCAATTTTGAAAAAGGGATTGTTTTTTGATCCTGAATTTTGGAACTTTGTCATGATTAAGAAAAACTGTGTGGCATTACTGAATGATAAATCAGCAGTCAAATTTCTAAATGAAAGTACACTGGAAAATTCTACAGGTATTCTAAAAAGGACAGTGGAACATCAAGGTTTAGGTGAAGGGCTTGACTCTCTTAGAGAACAGAACACTGGAGAGATTGAGCCTGATGGTATATCTGGAGGGCCGCCTAAAGATCATATTAATATAAAGAAAAACCTTACAGCTCTTAATACTTCCAAAGTAGATCATAATGTCCCAAGGCATCGGTGTATGTTATGTAACAAGGAATTTCTTGGTGGCCACATAGTAAGGCATGCCCAGGCTCATCAGAAAAAAGGCAGTTTTTCATGTGTAATATGTGGTAGGAAATTTAGAAACAGAGGACTTATGCAAAAACATTTAAAGAATCATGTTAAGAAAATACAGAGACAGCAAATTACTGCAGCTCATGATCAGGAAATTACTGCTTTGGAAGAAATAAATGGTTCCAGTTCTTCCATTACATTTGAGAATGGGAATTTGAATAAGGATATGGAAATAGAGACTCTGTCTACTTCCAGTGATGGAAACAAAGCAGTCATCTCTGAACACGTGGCTGAGTTAACTCAAATTCCCACAGATGTACCAAAAGATGTAACTGAAAATATTATTGAAAATGGTAGTCCTAATTCTTTAAATAACCTCTCAGAATCTTTACCTCAATGTGAGAATGACTATGAGGATGAAGAAAATGAAATTGATTATGAAGAAGACGATTATGACCTGAACCCAGAAACTTCAGTACTTCATAAAATAAATGGAACTGTGTGCCATCCGAAAGATGTGTATGCTACAGATCAAGAAGGAAACTTTAAGTGTCCTGCTCTTGGCTGTGTCAGAATCTTTAAAAGAATTGGATTTCTAAATACACATGCAAGGACTACACATCCAACAGATTTAAATGTACGACAAACAGTAATGAAGTGGAGCAAAGGAAAATGCAAATTTTGCCAAAGGCAATTTGAAGATTCCCAACATTTCATAGATCACCTTAATAGACACAGCTATCCAAATGTGTACTTTTGTTTGCATTTTAATTGCAATGAGTCCTTTAAGCTGCCATTCCAGTTGGCCCAACATACAAAAAGTCACAGGATATTTCAAGCTCAGTGTAGTTTTCCAGAATGCCATGAGCTTTTTGAAGATCTTCCTTTGCTCTATGAACATGAAGCTCAGCACTATTTAAGTAAAACACCAGAATCATCTGTACAACCAAGTGAAGCAATTATTTTGGATGTTTGTACAGACTCAAATTCTATTCATCAGGAAAAAGACTCATCTAGTAAAGATAAACCAACTAATAGTCTACCAGTTTCTACTAGCAAATCAAGGAAATATTCTACAGAACCAAAGACATGTATAGATAACATGGAAAAGAAAACAGACAGTTTAGTTCAGAATGGAAATGAACATTCTGATTACACTGTTTCAAATACAAGCTTGACAGACCAAAAGATGCCTGACATACAGCCAAATTCTGAAAACAATGACTTAATAAATGGACATAGTGAAATAGAGCAAGCAGATCCTGCTTTGAAAACTGATACAAGCAGAATCAGGACAGAAAATGGTTCTGTTTTACCCAATGTTGTACCACAAGACCACAATCCTCTGCCAGTATCTCAGGCATCATCCAAACCAAATCCTACAAGTGAACATACTTCGTATGGCTTAATTTTAACAAAGCCGTATGTCAGACCACTGCCTCCCAGTTACCTTGATGAACGGTACCTTAGTATGCCAAAACGCAGAAAATTTCTGAATGATAGAGTAGATGCCTGTTCTGATTCAGATAGTCTTTATAAAAAATCAGCAAAAAGATTAAGATGTGGCAAATGCCTGACCACCTACTGTAATGCAGAAGCGCTTGAGGCTCACCTTGCACAAGAGAAATGTCAGACACTCTTTGGATTTGATTCAGATGATGAAAGTAAGTCTTATGTGTTCTGTGTTTATATCTGTAAAAACAGAAAATAGATTTTCCTGGGATTAAAAAAGTTAGCATCTGTATAGCACTACTTTACACCTTCATATTATTCACTAGGAGGCAATATTCCTATTTCTGCTTTTATAAACACTAAAATTCATAATTAATTTGCATATACATAGCCTATGAATTTGTGGAAGCCAAAACCTAAGCACATTTAAGTTTTTCATATTTTCTGCCACTCTACAGAGCCTTTGCCACATTAATAAAAGTTCTAGCGTCAACGTTTTGTGAGTGTGTCAGTCCTGGGGCTTGAACTCTAGGCATAGGCTCTGTCCTTGAGCTTCTTTTGCCCAAGCCTAGCACTTTCCTGCCTGGGCTGGCTTGGACCACAGCCCTCAGATCTCAGCCTCTTGAGTAGCTAGCATTACAGGTGTGAGCCATTAGTGCCTTGCTAGAATCAGATTTTTATGGAGCTTTTTTAAACTGTATGTCAGAATATAAACCAACTGAAACTGAGTCTCTGTTATAAAGATAAAACTAAAGGAACTAGAAAAGAATTCAATAAATGAGAAGCTAAAGAAGATCTTTTCTACTAATACTTTTTTGTGAGAAAGTGTAATTGGAATCAAACTAGAATTCTAGTTGAACATACACAATATTTGCATTAACATGTGTATTTTATTTTACAGGTGCCTGATAAAAATGTCTCAACAAGATCTGTCGATCAAGTAGTAGTGTTTTTTTTTTTTCTGTTTGCTTTTTGTAAAGAAAGTACTACAAGAAATTACATCATCAGTTTGCTGTTTCCCTGATGGCCTTAATTTTAGAGTGATCTTGGATTACTAAAGATAAAGCACATTTTCTAGAATGAACTTGAAGAGGAGATGTGCTGGCTTAGACTCCAAAAGGGTTATTATAAAACTTCCAAAGTACCAGTTATTCAGAATAACCACATTTGTTTTTAAGTTTATGGTGATTAATACCAGCATGTTGTTTTGCTTCTGTGAAAGTCTGTTCTGGCAAATAGAAAAACCAGCTATGGCCTTATGAAAAGTAAAAGTTAACTCATGAAATAAGAGGTGAAGTGGAAAGCTGGTTTACAATAATAAACAATGTAAAGTATTATGCAAATGGAACTTGTTTTCTTATCATGAACAATCAGATTATCCTCCCTGCTGGTCAAACACGTTTTAAGGAATCATTACTGTTTGGTTTGTGGTATAATTTAGAAACTGATACGCAGAAACAAAACTTAACACCATATTCTCTATGTTAAAGATGGTAACTTGTTTCTAAATGATAAATTAGTGAATAGCATGCCAGCATTGAAAATTTTAAAGCAGACAAAAACCAGTGCTTTGCTTAAGTTCCTGAGAGAAACTTACAACTTCAGCTTTTTAATGCAAATTAATTATACTTTGTCAATTACAAAATAATTATACAGTGTCAATTAGGAAAGTACTACCATTAAATTTGGGGAGATACAAAAGAATCTTAGGACCATTTAAACTCTACTGTTGAAGGCAAACACTGAATTGCAAATGAAAATGGTGAAAGCACACTGGGATATTTCTATTTGTTTGTAGTATAGGACATAATTTGATAATTCATAATAAGGTCCTTTAGACATTAGCGTGAGTTATCTATTTATAGTCCTATGAAAATAATTGGCTTCAAATATGTCAGATAAGAATCAGGTTCAGAATTCATTCATTTTATTCAGCTAAGAAAGTTAATTCCAAAGTAAGCCATACTAATGTATTTTTATTCATTAGTGATGGATTTGGTCTGAATAGTAATTTTTATATATAAGGAAGTATTTACGCCAAAATTTGCACAGCAGGAACACATTAAGATATATTAATGCATTGTTTTCCTTGGTAACCAGTAATTTTCCTAAGGATGATTTTAACATAATAGATTAAAACAATGAATGTTTTATAATTTTTTTAAACATCCTCTTGATGTTTCTTCCTATTTGTCCATGTTAAAAGGAGGATGTTTACCGGAATCCTTTTACCTAATAGTATGTTGATCTCAGTCAGGGATAAAAAGGAGAAAATTGTAAAGGCAAATTTCTTAAAAGAGACATTCTAATATATAAACTTAACCAAATATTTCAGTTATTCCAATGGATAAAGTTTTGTTCAAAGCAGATAATCTCACTAGACCCTACAATTATAAATTTTAGGAATATTAGAGCTTCATAAATGAAGTAATGGAAAGTCAGACATTTCTTCCATGGTGGCATCCACATTTCATTAGTTTCTATGTCATTGTGTGTCAGACAGCTTAAAGTGTTTTCTCATTTTTATTATCATGGGCATTCACTACTATGCAATGAGGATCATAAATCCATTCCAGTCAAATTATGTTTGTTTTCTTATGTAGCCTACATTAGGCTGTGAAACTTATGTGTAGTTAACAAATACAATTCATAATCTAGTTTTTAAATCTGTTCTTCAAAATCAGCTAAAATAAGTTTTCCATACTTCCTCGTACTAAAAATGTAATTAATGACTTTTCAGTTGACTCTACAAGTATATCTTGTAATAAAAAGTCTGGAAATTGGTTGATTTGGACAATGAAGTTTTTTGAAATGTAATTTTTGCTTTGTACACCATCTAAAACCTTAACATTTTGTCACATTTTAACTTGCTATTTACATGAATCTCTGTCCACAAACTTAACTTGTTTTGAAGTTGAGGTTTGTATCTCTAATTTTTGTGTGGCTGGGAGAAAATTTTCAGAAAGACACATTAAATTAGTTTACATATTGTGAAGAAATGTCATATAAAATTCCTTTTTGCGTCATGATTTTTACTTCTTTATTAAGTAATTCTCAAATACTGGCTACTGAAAGAATGTGAATGTTTTCTTATGCCTATCTTCTAAAATATAAACCTTTGTGGGTGCAAAAACTTCCAGCAGTCCTCATTTGGGATATAGAAGAAAAAGATGCTCTTCAGATTTTTTTGTTTTTCTTTCTTTCTGTTGTGAGGATATGTTTATCCCTTACATGGACCAAGTTTCAAATCTTTGTTTTAAAATAAAAATTTCATTAAAAAATTAATATTCTGCTATGTATCAGTGAAGTCAAGCAAACAGCAAATCTGACCTTTTGCTGCTTAAATATTGTAGACAATGTTGAAAAGGGGATCTCCATGGACAAAGACACTGGTACTTTGGGCTTTAGCCATATTCATTTTTTTAAAAAATTATACAATGCATATATAATTTATATAATTGAACTTGTGATTCCTTTCAAATAACACTGAAGGTTTGGCCATACTCCTTTCATGTTTGGATTAATACTGTTGTATGAATGAAAACTTAAAAGGGATGATAGTGTTTTTTTTTCTTTAATTTATTTTATACTGTAAAACATCTTTTCAGAATGAGTAAATGCTGCATATGCATTTTGGAATTGTTAATATGTGAAAGATATTACAGATTCAGCAAGAAAGGAAATTTGTGCTTCCTTGTTGAACATTAAATTATTTACTTCGCATTTTATAAAAGTACAAATTAAAACTGAGCCATTGAACTGCAATAAATCAACAATAGCGTCTCATTTCAAGAAAATTTTGTACTGTACATAGATTTGTTCAATAAAACATTGTCCTTGTTGATAATGCAAGTGTTCAGTTTTATGGAGTACACTGTTTTCAAAGGAATTAGGCTTACTTAGGTACATGTTGAATAAATTTCTTGTTCCACCTCATAAAAGAATGGGTATTTTAGTTAATGTCATTACCATATTCAGATTACCAAATGATCTTTTTAACACTAGAAAAATCTAGCATCAATAACCATTTGGACACAAAACTACAAAAGGAAACAGTGGATAGACTTGTCTGTATTTGATACACCTCAAAGATAAAAGTGCTTCTGGTGGAACTTAAAAAAACAAGAAGTGATGCCATTTAAAAATATTAGGTATGTGTAGGTTAGGATGTCCAGGTGTTAAATCATAGCGACTCTGAGGCTGAGCAGGAGGACTGCTTGAGCAGGAGTTCAAGGCTAGCCTGGGCAACCTGTAGGTAGACCTCACTTAAAACAGGGAAAGAGGATGCAGTCAGTACCATGCCTGAGACCCTAGTGGCAAATTCCAAACTTAAGGTAAATCATGATGAATATTTCTAATACAAGTAATCAAATAGGGAAATGTTTTAAGTCAATCAACAGTTTGTTCCTGAAAGTAATGTGCTTGAACATAACACTCCTCTTTATTCATTGACAAAGGAAAATCCTCTATACTATTAGCAACTGAAAAACTTTGTAACCAAAAGAAAAAAAAATGAAGCTTTAGGTAGCACTACTAAGTGAAACAATGAGATAAAAGTGATCTGAACATACTACAAAAATGCTTTAGAAATACAGTTACTGAAGCATTCAAGCAAGATCTAAAATGATTATTGGTCATAGATAAGATGTGATCCATTTTTAGAAAAGTTAATATTAAACTGTTTAGGCAAGCTACTGGAATTTAGGTAACTTGCCATTTTCCTTGTCTTGAATTCTGGTAGGGATGCTAATGAGTGTGATTTTCATGTTACTGTAACAACAGTATTTGACACTGGATCATGTATTTTAAAAGGTTTATTTGGCTCACAATTCTCTGGTGGCTGCAAAGTCCAAATTGCATGTTGCCACCCTCTAGCTGCATTACTACATGGTGGAAAAGGACCCACTGTTCAAGCAAGGAATCAAAGGCAGGGGAGTGGCCTGGCTTTTATAAAAGCCAACCTAATCCTTTGAAAAACAACTCAGCCTGATGATTTGATAATTTCTTAATGGATCTACTATGTCATCATATTGGAGACTAAGCTCCTAGCACATGAATGGGGGTGGGGGCACATAAACTATATCCATACCAAGGTATTTACACTAATTTCAAGAAGCAATGGATAACAAAGAAGTTCACATATATCATCAAGATTTTAAAATCAATATACTATTACATCAATTTTTTAAAAAGACTTAATGCATATTGATGAGTAATGCACACTGACAAGGGAATTAATTTTTAAGACTCCCACTGAAGACTAATTCCAGTCAGACAGCAAATCATTATTCATCAATTCAAAAACTGATGGATATACATCAGTATGTACATAAACACGTTTGTGTAAATGTGTGTATATGTGTAAAAATTATCACAAGTACCATGGCTGGGAAATTCTGTTTTAGATCAGTCTTACCTACAGCTCTAACCACAAAGCAAATTTTCTCTGATCAAGCTGCTTCAGCTTCCTAGTGTCTTTCCTATGTGTCAAGAACCTATTTTTGCTTCTTCCTAGAATACTCTTCCTGATTTATATTCTTTCTTGGTTCACATTCTCACTTTTTTCTGACCTTTCATTCACTTTGAAAAGCCCTTGCTTTTCTTGATTTAATTTTCTTGCCCCATTTTCTTGATTTAACTTTTGTTGCAACATGTTCATTAAGATGTCCATGAAAATATATGTGCTAATGGACTTAGATTGGTCCCTGCTAAAAAGAACAATGACAACTATGTGTGTAATACACATATAATATATGATATATTTACATGTAATATATTAATATATAATATGTTAATATGGTATATAATATATAACAATAATATACAATCATTATATATATATAAATATAAAATGAAGCAATGTATGGGTGCCAGTGCCTCATGTCTATAATCTTAGTTATTTTGGAGACTTAAGATTGTGGGGATTGTAGTCCAAGTTCAGCTGGGCAGAGAAAAGCTCAGAAGACCATTTCTCAACAAAAAGCTGGATGTAATGGCCAGCTACTCAGGAGCCTAACACAGCATACCTAGGCAGAAAGCAAGACCCTGTCTCAAAACTAATTAGCAAAAGCAGGGCACCGATGGCTCATGCCTGTATTCTAGCTATAGGAGGCTGAGATCTGAGGTTCACAGTGTGAAGACATCTTGGGCAGCAAGGTCTGTGAGACTCGTCTCCAATAAACCACTCAAAAACAGGAAGTGGAGCTGTAGCCCAAAGTGGTAGAGTCCTAGCCTTGAGCAAAAGAGCTCAGGGACAGTGACCATGCCCTAAGTTCAAGTCTTAAAATGGACCAAAAAACAAAGGAAAAAGGTGTAGCTCAGGGGTGTCTGCTTAGGTGAGACCCTAAATTCACACCCCACACCTGCCAAAAAAAAAAAGAAGAAAGAAGACAAAGTTAGGCATTATTTGCATGTATTCCCATACTTACACATACTTAGTATTATCTCTTGCAAAATTCCTAAAAACTTCTCGAGGGACAGTAAGTACCATTTATCAGAATCTTTAATACCTACCATAATAAGTATTCATTATACTTAATATAAATGAATTAGAATCTGTTGTATAAATGGCATCCTACATACATCCATTAATAATTTAATCATAGTTTGGAGGCCTTAGAGACTTTATCTACAGTATATTTTATAAATGGTATTTAGCTGGCAAATTTTAAAATGCTAAATTTGTTCATCTGGATCTACAGGTACATTTCATTTACTGCATGCGAACATGCAGGAGACCTTCACCTGCTCTTCAGATGTGCCCCAGGTCACACCCTTTCCAACATACAACTTTATGGACCATTACTCACTATCAGTAATTTCTTTCATTCTTCAAGAATGTTCTACTTCCCTAAAACCCTATCAAAACAAATTCAAGGTCTGGGAATGTGGCTTAGTGGTAGAGTGATAGAGTGCTCACATGCACAGAGCCTGGGTTCGATTCCTAGGTACCACATACACAGAAAAAGCCAGAAGTGACACTGTGGCTCAAGTGGTAGAGTGCTAGCCTTGAGCAAAAAGAAGCTCAAGAACAGTGCCCAGGCTCTGAGCTCAAGCCAAGGATGGGCACAAAAAAAAAAAAAAATCAAGACCTGAAACTTAGAACTCTTTCTACAAGGGACTTCTCTTTCCAGGACACAAGGTCCTTCTTCACTAAGCAATTCTCCTCCTTTTTCTGTAACTTCATATTCCTTTGCAAAGAATTTCCTTTCCATCTTCTGGTTCTCTCTCAAACGGGGAATACTGCTGTTACCTTTGAGTCTTCTGTATCACATCTGTGGCCACATCCCTTGGGAATGTTCATGTTTATTACAATATGGAAATAACACTGGCATGCTAGAAGCCTCTCTATTCCTCCTTGCCTTCTCCACAATCATACTACTCTTGGTAATTAAGAATCATTACTATTCATTTTATTGTAATTTCTCATTTCCTTATTTCTTAAGTATAAATGATAATACAACATTACCTTAAGCTATCAAGGCTGTTGTATTACTGGCCTTGCACACATACAGTACAAAAGAAATTATCATGCTTCCTTCCTGTGCCCACAATCCTGGGCTGAGGGTTGGTTACATAAAGTTTTCTGATTAACTCCCTTAATTTTACTTGCATATCCAGAGACCTATTTTTCAGAAAGTGTAATTACAAACTCAGGACTGTATCTCAGTAAAGGCTAACCTTATTTCATGGCATATCCCACTGCAACCCTCCTTTTCTCTACAATCTTAAAACTCAGCCCTTTCAATTATAGGATTACCTTTTACTGAAAACTGTAATCAAATTCTTTACCTAAATCCTTCTGTGAAGATGGGATAAGGCTACAAATCTGACTTCCATCTCTTCCATTGTTACAATTACATGGGCAAGGTCATGAGTGCATTTCTTATCAAGCATTGATTAAAATACTGTAATTTTTATATCTACCTAACCACGTGAATGAAATCGATTCCTGTCATAAATACAGAGGTTGTTTCTTCCTGTCATTTCTTAATCTGTCCTCCTCATCTTCTCCAGTTTATTCATGGGGTTATAATCTTCATTGCCAACTGTTAATTTGTGAACAAGGGGCTAACCACACCTTTGATTCCAAATGCCAGTTAGCATTTGAAACTCTGTCAGAAGCTTGGTCTGCTTGCCTTATCACCCAGAAAAAAAAATTAAAGACTCCTCCTCCGAGATTATATCAACATTATCTTCCATATTCACCAACCAGCAGTGTTTTTTCCTTGAAGATCAACAGTCTTCTTTTACATACTTACATACATCTGCACCTTAGTTATCATGCCAATCATCAAAAGTACTGAGCTATCAGTACTCAGTTTCCTGGTAAATCTTTTTCACACCCCTTACAGGCAGAAGCCCTAAGATCTCATAAGTACCATGATTCTCATTTTAGCAGAGCACGAATTTCTTTCTCGTGTATATGGATTGCTGTCACAGAAATAGCAATATGACTCCTACCCTGGATCGGGATCCCCCAGTAATATATGAGGCGGGAATTTCTACGAGAGCCTAGAAAAGTGTGGGATTAAAAAAAAAAAAGGCTTAGGAGTTAAGCCCAGAGGCCCAGTGACTGACGTTCTAATATCCAGGCAATTGGGTTTCCATAACTCCCCAACCCCAACCCGGGAACGGTGCCGCCCTTGCCCAAGGCTGAACGGCAAAGAATGCCAGAGACAGGAGGCGTCCGATCCAAGGCCGGCAGCGAGGCACGGGGGGTGACGATCTCTTTGTCAGATTTCCGCCGCATAAGCTTAAGCAAGAAGTTATTTTAATGCAGGTAACTTAAGAACACCAAACTACCAGCTCACCTAACTCAGGAGGTGGCCACCAAGGATCTTTTCAAGCGCTCCCGGGAGCCGGGCCGGTGGGCGGGGAAGAGTCGCAGCCATTGGCCCGCCCCGCGGCATCATGGGAGTCCTTCCGCGGCCCAGTACTTCCGGCTTCCGTGAACTTGCGCAGTACTCGCAGGGAGCTCTTTGGAAGGAAGGACTGCTGCTGCTGCTGCTGCTGCTGCTGAATTCGGAGGTTCTTTGTGTACACAGCTCCCAGGTGGAGCGTCGAAGCTCTGTGTGTAAATGCAGCACACACTTTAGCTGAGATATTTGCTTCAAGATGACCCCGGAACCATAAGTCGGCAGCACCGGGTTTCCTCCCGGACCTCCTTTAACGACTCCTTCCGCCAAAGAGCCTGGAATACTCAGGAGCTCCTTTGGCGGGGGGCGAACGACGGGAAGGGCACTTCCGGTGTCTGTTGCCTAGGCGCCGGCCCGGCGGGCCTTCCGGGCGACCTTATTGGTGTCGTCCTCTCGCCCCCCCCTCCTCCCCGGGGGTCGAGATGTCGGGGCTCAGCCGCTTAGAGATGGAGGGCTGTCGCAGCATGCTGGGCCTACTGGACAACGAGGAGATCCAGGCCCTGTGCGACACCGTCACCAACCGCCTGGTGCAGCCTGCGGACCGCCAAGGTAAGGGCTGACTTCGCTCCGCGGGCGGCGCCCCGCCCGGCCCTCCCCGAGCCCCGAGCTGAGGGTCGGGGGTGGATGTGGCGTCGGGTGTCTGGAGTGCGGGCTCCCACTGGGTCCCCTGCCCCGCTTGGGCGGAATCCCGGGCCGTGCCAGTCACCGCGGCCGCTGGGCGGTTCTGGAATCCCGGCGCCGGCCCGGGCGCCCGGGGGAGGTGGGGGAGCCGCCGGGGCGCGGGTTCCAGGCTTTCTTCATTAAGCGGCAGGGGGGAAGTTCGCTGGTTCGAAGATTCCGAGAGCGTCAGTCTTTTTTTTTTTTTTTTTTTTTTTGCGATTTCCATTCAACCCCGTTTTCTTCCCCTAATACTTTGTGTGGATCGGGTGAAGAGGAAGAAGGCTAACGACTCTGAGTCAGCTTGCGGTTCAAGTCCCCGCTCCGTAGCCCTACGGGTTCACACATCTCTCTTAAGTTTCTGTTTCCCCGATACTAATTTCCGTCCCACTTACCTGCTCAGAAGGAGACTCCCCCAGTGCCTGCTCACGTGACACCTCCGAACTGACTCTCAGCCCCAGTTCTCACGGTCCATCTAATGTGACCCATGTGAGTGCCCCAAAAATTTTGTTTCAGTTCCGCCGCTCATGCGCTGCTGCTGCCTCCATTCCCACTAGGAGTAGCCGGGCAGGCCTGTCGCCCAACACAGCCTTGAGCCCAGATCGCTTACTCGCCCCTCATTTCTTTTTTTCTTGTTTTTGTTTTTTATATTTTTTTATTGTAAAGATACTGTACAGAGGGGTTACAGTTACATGAGCAAAATAATGAGTACATTTCTTATCAATCATTGTTGCCTCCTCTTTTTTTTTTCCCCTACCATCCCTTACTTACCTCCCACCTCCACGACTAAATTGTAGTTCATTTTTCAACAGTGGCTTGTGCATCTCATTGTTACAATGGGTCCACCTGTATCCCTATTTAAGCATGTTGTTTTTTCCCTTCCCCTCCCCAAATTAGAGAAATGTATATACAAGATGCAGGGCACCGACATCAAATACAGTGAAAACAGGGGTTATACCCTGCGGGAGGAACATACAAAGAAACAAAAATATCACGTGGTACATTATAAATATGTTAGAAACAATAGTAAGAAAGAAAAAGAATATTTGTATCCCTATCTTGGGGTTCATTTTGCTTACCATCATCTTATCTGTTCATATGTACATCGCTTTTGATCTTTTCTGCTTGTCCTAGATGTATACTAGTTATTGCCAATAAGGGAAACCATGGGACCTATGTTTCTTTGGGCCTGTCTTACTTCACATAATATAATTTTTCCAAGTCTCTCCATTTCCTAACAAATGGGACGATGTCATTCTTTCTGATGGAGGGTTAGAATTCCATTGTATGTATGTGTGTGTGTGTATATGTGTGTGTGTGTGTGTGTGTGTGGCATTTCTTGATCCATTCATCTACTGAGGTCACCCCTCATTTTTGCAAACTGGTGGCTCGGCTGTTTTCAAGCTTGGGGGAATTCACAGACACTTTTAGATCAGTCTCCTAGCTAAAAACTGCAACACACACACACACACACACACACACACACACACACACTATTGGCTCAGGCCTGTAATCCTAGACACACACACACACACACACACACACTTTTTTCTGCTGGGCGCTATTGGCTCAGGCCTGTAATCCTAGATACTCTGGAGGCTGAGATGGTGAATGCCACTGTTTGAAGCCAACTGGTGCAGGAAAGTCCTTGAGACTCTTCTATTAACCACCAGAAAACCCGAAGTGGTACTGTGGCTCAAAATGGTAGAGTGCTAACCTTGAGCAAAAAAGAGCTCAGGGAACAGTGCCCAGTCCCTGAGTGCAAGCCCCACGACCAACAGAAAAGCACATTTTTTTTTGGAGGCCAAGATTTTTCCAAGATGATTTTGTTGTTCCAGAAATTGGTTAATTTCAGAATGGAATACACATTATGAGGTGAGTAGATTTCAAGTCATTTGGAACATTTAATGATGAACATTAATGGGAGCCATTCCTATAAACTTTGGGTTGGGAGGGATAGGGGAGAATGTTAAAATGTTTCTATCAAAATGTTTTGTACTTATAAACTGATTTGTTGAATAGCAACTACACTTTTGTGCACCTACTTATAAAAATATAATTTAAAAAGAAACTCAGATTGAAAATCATTTTAGGCTAATATAGTTCTTAAGCATATCTGTGTTTTCCATGGTAATTGCCCTTCTTAAGACCATGGCTAATGTAAATTTAAAATTATGATAGATAAAAATACTGGATTTTTTTTTTTTTGGTCGGTCCTGGGGCTTGAACTCTGGGCTTGGGTGCTGCCCCTGCGCTCTTCAGCTCAAGGCCTGCACTCAGAGCCACAGTGCCACTTCCGATTTTTTTGGTGCTTAATTGGAGATTAGAGTCTCAGTCACGGTCCTTTCTGGGCTGGCTTTGAACCTGTATCTTCAGATCTCTGTGTCCTGAGTAGCTAGGATTACAGGTGTGCGCCATTGGTGCCCTGCTAAAATGCTGGATTTAAGTAGAAGTGAATAAGCAAATAAAGAGAAAAATATTTCCCAATAAAAATTTGTTTAAAAAATTTAAGGGAAGATTTCTCAGAAAAATAGGCATATAAAAACAAAACCTCTTTAAAAAGCAGTGAAGTACAAACCAAAATACTAGGTGTCTTTTTCTTGGTACCAAGAAAAAGTTCACATGTTGGCCATCACATAGCTCTTCTTGTCGGTTCGGGGGCTTGAACTCGGGGCCTGAGTGCTGTCCTCAGCTCTTCAGCTCTAGGCTAGCACTTTACTACTTGAGCCACAATGCCACTTCCGGTTTTCCGAGTGGGTTTTTTGGAAGATCAAAGTCTCATGGAGCTTCCTGACCAGGCTGGCTTTGAACCTCTGTCCTCAGATCTCAGCCTCCTAAATAGCTAGGATTATAAGGCGGGAGCCACTGACGCCTGACACCATCACATAACTTTTTGACAACTAATGGATGGGATATAAATTAGAGCTACCAACCTGAAAAACAAGCTTGACATTACCTCATATAGTGACAAATCTTACGTATAATGGTAGACTAGGGCTAGACAATTGTGTTAGTTTTGCTTTGCTATGACTGAAATGCCTAAGAGAACAACTTAGAAAAAGAAAGACTGATTTTATCTTATGGTTTCTGAGGGTTCAGTCTCGATGCTGGGCAGACGATCATGACTGCAGAAGCTCAGGGAGAAGGTGTTTTCTCCTTATGATGGGAATCAGTGGCATAAGAATAAGTTTTAATGGGAGCATAAGAATAAGTTTTAAAGCTGGAAGGAACACATTTCCAATGACCTACTTCTCCCATTAGTCACCACCTCTCTGTTTCTAGTAGCATTTACAGCTGGAGGACCACAGCTAACTAACTGAACCTGTGGGAATCTTTGCATATGCAAACCTCAACGGGGATTTTGTTCAAAAAAATATTCTGAATGACTAGTTTTGGAGAAGGCACAAAATTCTGCATTACTCATAAGCTCTTAAGGGATGCTTCTCTTACTGATTCCTTTGTGTACTGGGAAATACATATGAGACTGTTCTAACTAGCAATAGTAAGTCTTTAAATAAGTAGGTACCTTGGAGTTCTATAGTTCTATAACTATAGTATGACTGAAAATGAATTAACTAGAGCTACATATATCCAATACTTTAGTCTCAAACAAAGCTAATTACAGAAGACTGTGTACACACACACACACACACACACACACACACACACACACACACACACACACACACACACACACACACAAATGGGTAGAATTTATATATCATTTGTTTTTCTTGGTGCCAGTCCTGGGGTTCAAACTTACAGCCTGGTTGCTATCCTGAACATTTTTTTTGCTCAAGACTAGCATGCTACTTTCTGCCTGAAACCCAGCTCTACTACCATCATTTAATTAATTGAAGATAATTAATTAATTGATGATAAGAGTCTCTAGGCTTTTCTGCCTGAGCTGGCTTTGAACTCTGATACTCAGAAGTCAGCCTCCTGAGTAGCTAAGATTACAATCAAGAGCCACTAGCACCTGTCTATGAAACATTTTCAAAATGTCATAGTATACATATTTTTAAGGATACATACTTATTCTATACAGTATAAGAAATGTAAGTCTAGAATAGTAGCTGCTCTGTGAGATAGGTGAAAAAATGAGCACTCGGTGAAGTGGGAGCCTCAAAGATACTAGTAATGACCTTATCTTCAAACCTCTAGGAGTACTTTTAAAGCAGTATTTTCACTGCCATTTTTGTAGACATCATCAGAAATGTTGTTTGATTTGTGTTTTAGGTGCATTTGCTTTATGTGCCAGGATTGAGTTTGAATTTGGGACTTCAAGCTTAACAGGCAACTGCTATAATACTTGAATGCTTTTTTTTTTCCCATTCTTTTAAAAGTGAAAAGTATCTTATTTTTTGCCACTTCCTAGAAATTAATTGTTCATACCTCATGTTCCTCAATTTTCTTATATGTTAAATAAAGAGATTGGAATGGCAGTGCTATAATTCTATGATTCTTAGGGATGTATGAGTTTAGACCTTTTGGTCTTAGTAGAAAATATAATTTTTTGTTCATACTTTCAAATAATTCATTTAAAAGAATGTGCTAGAATTTTACTATTTAGTAGAAGTGCAAGAAAAAGAATTTTTTTCAAGTAACAAGTAAGACCATAAAGGAAAATCTGACAATCCACTTCCTGCTTTTAAATAACGAATACAAGCTTTAATGCTGTTCAGTAGAACGTGGGCTGATATTTGACAAATTTTTTAAGTGCCTCATGATGTTGAATTAATCATTGTAATTTTGTTCTTAGATGCTATTCATGCAATATTAGTATATAGCCAAAGTGTAGAAGAACTTCTGAAGCGTAGAAAAGTCCATCGAGAAGTCATTTTTAAGTACTTGGCAACACAGGGGCTTATTATACCCCCGAATACTGAAAAACACAATCTTATTCAGCATGCAAAGGAATACTGGAAAAGGCAATCACAGCTGAAACTGAAGGAAGCACCAGAGTTAGCTACAAAGACTGAGGATATTCAACTCTTTCAACAGGTAAATTTGATTTTGTAGTTATATTCTGAACCTTTGATCTGTCTGAAACTGCAAATAATATAGATCTGAGTGTATGTGGTTCAAAAATACGTATTTTCAACTTATTTTACATCCTTTGTATCCTAAAGAAAGACCAATAAGAGACAAAAGATTTCTGACATTTAGTGATGTGTAAAATTGTTTTAATGTTTTCATTGTAAAGATACTGTACAGAGGGGTTACATAAGTTACATGAGTAAGGTTCATTTTCAACATAGTATCTTGTATGTCTCATTGTTATAATGGGTCAACCTGTATCCTTGTTTCAGCATTTTGTTATTTCCCTTCCTTTCCCTTCCCCAAATCAAAAAATGTATACACAAGATCCAGGGCACCAGAATATTCAAGAAAGATTTTTTTTTCCATTATCAAATGAAGACTGTTTTAGAGATTAAACTATAAAATCATTTATTTATGCCAGTATTATGCTTTGAATTGAGGGCCTCATGCTTACTCATCTTTTTTGGTTGGTACTCTTGCCACTTGAGCCAATCACCCAATCCATCCTTTTGGTAATTAATTAGAGATGGAAACTCTTGGCTACTTCTTCCTGGGCTAGCTTTGAACTAGCTTCTTGAGTAGGTAGGATTACAGGTATTAGCCATTGGCACATGTTTGGATCATTTCATTTTGTTATATAACAATTTTTTTCACTTAAAGTCCTCCCCCCATACACTCACTCCCCCCACCTCTTGAAATAGCTTGGAATCTAGATAATTACTTTGCTTTCACATTAGAAAGGATCTTCTAAGGCTTTTAAAAAATTATTATGCTAAAAAGAGAATTCACTTTGAAACCATAAGGATGCTATTTCAAGTTAATGTCTATACTAGGTGAACTTTGGCAAATAATGATTTGACCTTTCTGAGCCTTATTTCCTTTATAAAATGACTGTTATAGGGCTAAGGGGGTATAGCTTAGAGGTAGATTTTTGTGTGCATGCAGGCTGTGGGTTTAGCTTCCGTGTCATAGGCTCATTGTGAACATAGGAAGTGTGTGTAAGTGTAATGCACTGATATATTCAATATGAAGTCCTCAGTAAACATAAGCTCTTATTATCTAAATGTGATACGTGTTCCATAATACTCAGATCGCTATTAGGTATGGTTTTATAGAGACAGTCTCTTTGAAAAAAAAAGAAATGAGAGCATAAAATCCATCCCAGTCATAGAAAATGAATTGATGCTCATTTCAATCTATTTAAGGGAAGGTAAAAATTCTATCAACTTTATTGGCATGTAATTTAACTCAGGTAGTGTGCTTGAAATACAATGTTTGAAAATTTTAACAGGTAGAATGTGTGTGGTTTTGAAATCACAAGAGAAACTTACACCAATGAATCCTTTCTTACTGTTTTATAATTGCTTTTTAGGAGAGTATATTTCAACTTTGGTTGAAATATATATCTGGAAATATATACTTTGGAAAGCTAGGCTGGAAAATTGGGAGTTTTCAGGCCAGCCTGGGCTAAATAGTGATATTCTATATCAGGGAAAAAATGTTGAAGAGACTCAAGACTGCTCAATGATAGCAGTAGCACATGCAAAGCCCTGGGTTTGGACAATAGGAGAAAAAGAAAAAGAGTTTACCTACTAGTTTATTCTTGGGCTTAAGTGAACTTGGTACTTTGGCCTCCTGAATAACTGGAACTTGAGGGCATCATTTCACATACCCAGTAACAGGTCTGAGTTAGCTTTCAAATTAAGTTCCTGCCCTGTGTCCCTGTTTACAGGAATCTGTTAAATTTCGATTTCCCTGATGCTGTATTGCTTTCCTGGTGTGATATACAAATTCCCACCCCAGTTCCAACAGTCTCATTACACTCCTTGTCGGAATATGACTCTACCCGCAAATTCCATGTAATTACAGTCCATGTAATGTGACCCATGTGACTACCCATGTGACTGCCCCCTAAAATTTTGTTTAAATTCAGCCCACACCTGTCCATGGCTGCTGCCTCCATTCCTGCCTGGAGCAGCCCCACAGGTCTGCCCCCCAGTAAAACTTGCCAATCATTTCTTGCACCCAGGAGCAAGTTAAACTTATGTAGCTGAACTTCAAGCTACATAACTTGAAAGATTCTAAACTAAAATGATTTTCTTACTTTGCAAAACATTTTCCTATGCCTGTTCAGTTCAGTGATTTGAGTTTGCAGGTATTCGGATTCCCTTTTCTGGAATCTGTACATTAGAAACTTGACATGTAGCAGGTAGACAGAAAAGTAGATTTTAGTTAAGCCTTAGCTTTATTTTTTGTTTGTTTTTAATCAGCAGGGAAAAGAAGATAAAAAAGCTGAGAAAGTCGATTTTCGCCGCCTTGGAGAAGAATTCTGTCAATGGTTTTTTGAACTTCTTAATTCTCAGAATCCTTTTCTGGGACCACCTCAAGATGAATGGGGGCCACAGCACTTCTGGCATGATGTAAAGCTTAGGTTTCATTATAATACCTCAGAACAAAATGTGATAGACTACCATGGAGCAGAACTTGTGAGCCTTCGTTTGCTGTCACTAGTAAAAGAAGAATTCCTTTTTCTCAATCCCAACCTAGAGTCCCATGGACTGAAGTGTGCTTCTTCACCCCATGGGTTAGTTATGGTGGGAGTTGCAGGGACTGTTCACCGAGGAAACAGTTGTCTGGGAATTTTTGAACAAATTTTTGGACTCATCCGGTGCCCTTTTGTGGAGAATACTTGGAAAATCAAATTTATCAACCTAAGAATTGTTGGGGAAAGTTCCATTGCTCCTGGAACAGTACTGAAACCAGCAGTTACATTTGAACAGAGTGATCTGGAGGCCTTTTATAATGTTATTTCTTTGTGTGGTAACAATGAAGGAAGAGTTAATATAAGGCAGCCTTTGGAAAGTGGGACTGGAGACCAGTCTTTGGGTGGTGGAAATGAGTCATTAGTGAGCAAAAGAGAACTGAGTTTGCCTAACCCTGTAAAACACTGAGCACTGTATGTCAGCTTAGTAAATCTCTACAGAACCTCTTCCAAGTGCTGCATCAGTAATTTCGTGATTTCAGATGTAAGGAATGACAGTTAAATGCCTTTCTGTACTGCCATGTTATATGAATACTTGCCCCTTTCTATCTGAGTTACACAAATGTTTTGAGAACTTAATTGCAGTTCACCTAATAAATCCCACTTTAGATGTTGTAGCTAACTGTGTGCCTTACAAATCAGGTAATATTTTCATTTTACTTAGTGAATATTATCTATACCTTCCATATAGCAAACAATTGACAGTGTTAAAATCTTAAAGGACATTTTACAAATGCATCTCATGATATTGTTTAAAAGATAAAATAACTTAATAGTTTAGAGATGTTTGATGTAAACCCAGTGTTTTCATTTTAGAAAATTCTTTTTACATTGTTAAGTACAAAACTTCACAAGGGGAGAAAAATTTACTACCTCTGTAAATATTTGGAAAACAGCTTCGGTCCAAAAAAGTGTCTGTTATAATCTTCAACATTTTGGCAATAATAAATACTGCTCCCAAGACAGAACTTAGTCTTACCTACATTTTAGCTAATAGTTTTATAAGAGAATTTATTGTAACACCAGAAAAAGGGAATACACTATTGATAATTTAAAGGTGTGCGCAATTTTTAGTTTTATTTTTCCCTTGATAGATTTGGCATTGATTATTCTCCTATTCAAAAAACAACATAAAACCCAAATCCAAATTTAACATACACATATTTTCTCTGTGTACATATACTCCACATCCTAACATAAATCTTTTTTGAACTTTTTCACCTTTTATTTGTGTTACTAGGTTTTAGATAAAAAAATTGAGTTGCCAGATTAATGACATAGTTGCTTTGAAGTTTATTTCCTGCCACCAGCATCTGTTTGCTTGTTCAGGATTTAATTAGGAATTTCAGTTTATAAAAGAACCATTTGACCAAAAATTCAACTGGAAAATGTGATCATATATTGTACATATTAAGTTTTTATTTTTAATTTTGCTTCTGGTCACCTAGGATAGATATTGGAAGCAGAAGAAAATAGTCATACTTTTTTTTTTTCAATGGCATACCTTTTTTTTGAGGGTATAACCTAAAATAAGAACTTAATAAAGGAGGGAAATTCATTTTTGTGTGTGAGAATACTGCATGGTTTAGATTTAATTAAGAGTTTTCTTGTTTGGCTGGGTGCTGGTGGCTCACGCCTGTAATCCTGGCTACTCAGGAGGCTGAGATCTGAGAATGATGGTTCAAAGCCAAGCCGAGCAGGAAAGTCCGTGAGACTATCTCCAATAAACCACCAGAAAACAGGAAGTGGTACTGTAGTTCAAGTGGTAGAGTGCTCACCTTGAGCTGAAGAGCACAAGGACAGCGGCCAGAGTTCAAGCCCCACAACCGCAGCAAAAAAAAAAAAAAAAAAAATGTTTTTTCTTGTTTGGGAGTAAATTTATAGGTATTTAATCAAAGCAAATTTACTATTGCTATTTATACTATCAATATAATACAAATGGATATAAGAAGAGAGCAGTTAACTTGTCATAGTGGCTCACAACTATAACCCCAGCTAACCTGGGGTAGTAACAGGAGGATCTTGGTTCTGTGCCATATCTGGCATCTGGCACACTGGACATATTGATGCCTATCTGTAATCCCAGCTGTATAGGAGTCAGCGGTAGGAAGATTGGACTCTGAAACTGTTGTCTTTTGATAAAATCATGACACTGGACTAAATAACTAGAGCAAGAAAATGTCCTGGGTTTCTGGCTGAAGTAGTATCTTCCAAGAAATTGAAGCTTTGGGTTCAAATGTCAATATAGTCAAAAGAAGCAAAAGAGGAACATGCATTTTTCATAATTCCATTACTTTCATAGGGTAGATGAGTCACATGAATTTATCATATAGCTTTGCATAGCTTTTGAAAACTTGAGTTTTATCTTTATTAGAGTTTCAGTACAATTATAAAACAAAATAGAAAAATAAATACTCTAAGTAAAAGATAAAGTTAAAATCCATTCTTTTCTTTGTGCTGTTGATGTAAAGTACTGCAGAGCTAGTACTACCACTACTCAGAGTTGACAAGAATTTGCTTCAGCTATCTTCATTATTGAGTCTTTGAATTTATGTACAACCTGCACAATTCTGAAGGTTCTACAGGTAGTTTTAATCAGCATATTAGGTCTTCTCAATAGACTATGGATTTGAGGCTACTCTATTTCAGGTGAAGCGCACATCCTCATGTTAAATAAATGAGCAAAAACAGCTTACTTACTAAAAAGAATATTTTATTTGTGGTTTTGTTGTTTTGTTTTAATTAGATGTTTTGTTTTAATTAGATGCACAGAAATTTAGACTTCTCACCCATAGAACTCATTTGTAATGACTTAAAGACTCAAGGTCAATAGGATATTATTGGTAGCCCTATGTATACCTAAAAACAAATATTAAGGGAAATATATGAAGAAAGTTTAGTAAGAGGCAGATGCCTGGAAGAACTGAAATCTGTTCATGAGGCTTAGAGCTTGATATAGATCTTGAGAATGGTCAAAGCAAAGTGCAAAGACAGCTCTACTGTGTTTATTAGGGAATATCAGGGATCATAGCTTTAGGTCTCTACTTTTGTACTATTTGGAAAGTCTTTGTCAGGAAGCAAAGAAGAATACAATACTGTATATATAATGTGTAATAATAGGGTGGTCAAATTGTGTGATCTTCTAGACTTTTATTTACTCTAGGCTGATATTCCATCCTGTCAGGGTATCTTGTCTAATAACTCCCTTTTTTGTTAAAGTTAAGTAAAATTAATTCAGCAAAAATTTTAAAGCTTTTTGCTAAGTTCTAAGTAATAGTTACATTTATGTTTTATTAGTATGTAAATGCCAGATTACATATTTTATGTGTTAACACTAAACCAGAAAAATCTATATTAAATCACTTTTCAAAGGACAAATATAATAATACATCAGGAAAGTAATTCTTGGTTTTTGAAAAGGCCATGTGTTTCTACTAAAAGAATGCTTAATGTCATTAAGAAGGTACGAAATTCAGCCAGAAACTGTAATCTGTAATCCTAACTACTCAGGAGATTGGAGATCTAATGATTGTGCTTTGAGGCCAGCAATAAATAATTTAAGAAATTACAAATTACCAGAAAAGAATATAAGTTCTGAAAAAGTAATCATTAGTAATGTTTTAGAAAATGGCTCATTCCTTAAAGATGTCATAAAAATGAACACAAACCATAATACATTTATTACATTTATTAACATGTATATTTTCACAACTATTGATGCCTTCTCTGTATGTACTAGTATTCATCTCATGCTGAGACCACCCACTACTTTGATATGCCCCAGCTGGAGCTGGATTAGAGAGGATGATAATTACTATATGTCATTTCTTTTGAGAAATAAATTGACCATGTTCTTTCTCCCTGAGGGAAATATGTTTGTATATTTCAGAAATCATAAACCTCTCCATACAATATCTGAGTCCGGTAGACTTTAATGTTCCATGCTTGAAAATCTACCATAATGTTATGGTTATCTGGATATGCTACTTTAACACTGACAACAAAATTTTTGGGGATTGTCTTCAGGGTCTAAGGTAGGAAATTAAATCTTAAAAAAAAATTTCAGCAGAATCTACTGAAAATACTAGCAAGTGGAACATAAACGTATTGAAAAATTGGGCTGGGAAGGTGGCTCAGTGGTAGAGTGCTTGCCTTGCATGCATGAGAACCTGGGTTTGATTCCTCAGCACCACATAAGCAAAAAGAAAAAAGCCGGAAGTGGCGCTGTGGCTCAAGTGGTAAAGCGCTAGCCTTGAGCTGAAGAGCTGAGGGACAGAGCCCAGGCCCAGAGTAGGTCCCACGACCGGACCCCCCCCCCAAAAAAAAAGTATTGAAAATTTACTTCATTTTTGAAGAGATCAATTTAATGGCAAATAATGGCCACACTTTGGAGAAAGTGATTAAAAATATGAAAAAAGTCTTTATAAAAACTATTCTAACAGATTACGTAATGATTTTATGTTGCTAATTTCAATGGTGGAATATTATAATAATCTATATTATATAAAATATAGATTATATAATTATAATTATTATATATTATATAATATTCCTATATAGTCTCTTTACTACCTCCTCCAGTCTCCCACAGCAATATATGTAGCCTTTTATCTCCCCAGATCACATGCAGATTGTATAGTTCTAGATCTGGGTTCTCAAGCTTATTTGACATGTTTATTAATATATGGCTTAGTTTATTATACAGTTATTATTTGCAAGCTGCTCAGTCAAGTACATGATAGTATAAAAATACAAAAATATATTTGCCTAATTTAAGATTGAATACAAATATTATTCTCTGTTTATGTTGTCTTAGAATGTGAACTTCTTTATGTATTTGGTAGAAGATTCAGGTACATAATTTTATATGATCTGGAAGAAAGGACTTTTTAAAGAGTCATAAAAATTTGATCTCTATAGAGAATACTAGATGTATTTTAGTTTTTTGTTGTTGTGTGTGTATACATATATGTGTTATGTGTGTGTACCTATATGCTTGTACTGGGTTTTGAACTCAGGGTCTGGTCTTTGTCCCTTAGCATTTTTGCACAAACCTGATGAGCTACAGCTCCACTTCTGGCTTTTTGTTGGTTAATTGGAGATAAGAATTTTTCCTGCTCAGGTTGACTTCGAACTGCAATCCGCATATCTCAGCCTTCTGAATAGCTGGGATAACAGGTATAAGTCACCATCACCTGGCATATTTGAATGTTTTGATAGAACATGTAGTTTAGAATTGGAAGGAAAAGTTTGCAAACTGCCATAATGTCCTAAATGCATTTATCTTTAATTTTCTAACCTGACTGAAGTCTTCCAGTTAAATTCCAGTATTAAAATTGATATATTTATCCTATGTTTACAAACGATAAAATAAAAAACTCTAGAACCATTTGTTGTCAGTGAAATTACCTAAATTTTGGTAATACCTTCTAAATTCACAGTTCTGGTAAATTTTATTATTTTTTGTGAGTTACTTATTCAAACTTTATAATCAGTGATTTTCATCCTCTGGTTGGACATATGCTGAATCTAAAGTATAAAATTAGTAACATTTGAATTTTTAAATTTAAGGATTTAGAGAAATATTACCCACTGCTGACTTGTCTGATTTGGCATTTACTAAGTAAAAATTCTACTTAGTTTTAAGTTTATCTAATCTCCCAGCTCTCATATTTTACTGTATAAGTAACTACTATTACATGTAATTATTCTCACATTATTCTATGTAAACTACTTTTGGCTCTGTAAGTTGTAAATTCCTAGACTGGGTGATTTCATATTTTGCTACATTTTTTCCCTGGTTCCCAGGGTGAGTAACACAGGATGAGCTAAATTTGGAATGTTTATCATTGAAAAGTAATATGTTGTTCAGTTTTGCCAACAGCTCTCTGAGATAGATACCTTAGAGATCCCTCTTTAACTTCCAATCTGTCATGGCTACTGTAAGGGCCTGGATCAAACTCGG